AAGCATAAATGACTTATAATATGGCAATCAATCCTAACGATATATCTAGATTGATATTCAACCAAGGATTGCGTTACTAAGGTGCAATGTACTCGCCTTGATAACGTTGAAGACGGAAGTGATAGGAATAAAGTATATGCCTCAACGAACGTTCAACGTACGGACACCTCTATCAACTTCAAGTTTCCAACGTCGGGTCTTCTCTACAATACTCTCTGGGAGTTCCTAATAATCGCTAGAGAATCGACGATAAGAGTTTTGAACGGAATGGAAAGAATATTGAAAAGAAAGTAGTCAAACCCGAGAGGCCCGTCGCCACCGACGCAGTCTCGGTATTTTGACCATATCTCCTTCGTTTCTCAACGAAATCGCAAACCGTTTGATGCGTTGGATTCGCGAGACACGAGGCTACAACTTTTGTTCAGAAATCAGACTGAAATAATGACGTTAAGATATATGAAAATGGCTCACAAGGTGACGGTTTGCTGCTGCCAGGATTTTGAAGAAACTTATGATGATTTCATCTTCTTGTTTCACCAATGGAGTTGAAGTTCTTCCTCTTTTCTTTGCTTGAATGAATAGAATTTACGAAGAAGTTGCTGCTGCATTTTTAACTCAGGATTTTAGAAACTTCGATGTTTCTCCTTGCTCTTTCTTCTTCTTCTTGGCTAAACTTGTTGGGATTGTAATCATAGTTGTATGCATAAAATTTCCTACGAGCAGGTGGTGCATTTTCCTGTTTCCACCTGGCAAACCCAGAATTTCTTGCAAAACTCCTATCTACCCCATAATGAGTATAGCCTCGCGTATAGTGGGGGTTAGAAGGTTTTCTTCTGAAATTATTTCCTCTTTGAGGTCTGTCCAGCTTCCTATAGTTCTTAGGAGGGACTACCTTTTTGGGAATTTCTGTGGGTTTTGTTAGACAAATGTGCAACTCTAGAGGGGGGGTGAATAGAGTTGTTTTCAAGAATGTGCGTTTTTCGCGTGTGTGAAATAATAAAATCGCAGGAATAAATAAAGAGAGTAAGGGAAAGAAGAACACCGAGATTTATACTGGTTCACCACCTCGTGGCTAGTCCAGTCCTCCGAGAGACTCTCTCAAAAGTCCTACTAATCTTCAAGCTTCAACGGGTGCTTGAAAACCGGTACAACTTGAGAACTTGAATCACACAAGCCTCACTTTCTTACAACAACAAGACTTGAGTCACACAAGTCTTCAGAACAACACTCAAATGAGATTGAGTTTACAACACAAGAATGAAAGCTCACACAATTGAGCAAAGTAGTGTTGAAGAATTAAAGCTCTATGGATGACAACTTCTTTAGCACTCAAAGAAAATATTTCTAACTCTCAAAAATAGTATTTTGATGAGGAAGATGAAGCAAAGAATGAATATATCTCAAAGAATATATTGGAGTGCAAGAGATGTGTTTTGAAATGAAGGAGAGTGAGGGATTAAATAGGCTGAGGAAAATAAAGCCGTTGGAGTACGCTGATGATATGCACCAGATAAAATTAATCGATTAACGTATATAGATAAATCGATTACGGTACACAGAGGCGAAAAACCTGAATAGAAGAACAGAAATAATCGATTAACGGAAGGCCTAAAAATCGATTAGTTGGCTCTGTCCGAACTAATCGATTAATTGAAGACAAAACATCGATTATTGGTCAGACCAGGGAATCCAACGAAAAGCTTATTAATCGATTATATGAAGGAAGATAATCGATTATGGAGGAAATAATGCGCAACACAAAAGGGCCCAAGCTAGTTGCGATATGAAGTGAATTGGCGTATACTTGTTTGTTTGAGACAAGAACGCTCCTCAAGAGAAAGTATCCCTTATTCAATGAATTTTGAATAGGGGAGAAAAAGTGAGTCCAAAAATTATTTTGTGTGTCAAACGATGTATACGAAAAATATTTAAAGTATATTTTTCTTACCAAAAAAAATTGTGTAATCTTTAAAAATATTTTTAAGAAATTTTGACACACTTATTTTTGAAACTAACTCAGTAAAATATTTTTGGACAGAAAAAATAATTTTTCAACTGACTCAAGAAATAATAATTTTTATCCCTCAGAAATTAATTTGTTTGTGCAGAAAATATTGTCATCCTTACAAAGATTCCTAGACTTAATAAAAAATAAAAAAGTCTTCGGAGTCTTCACTTCACTTCAAAAAAATCTGCGTAGGGGTGATCGTCGATTTTTATCACCGTAAACTTCTTGATACCCTTCTTTGCTTTTCTCGATACGAAAATAAATTTTCGATCAGCTTGAAATTAATCATCTTGTTTGTCATTCATCAAAACAAAAAAATATTCTAGAAGAAATAGTAAAGGGGTTTGAACTTATGTCCAACAGGTTTCTCCTTTTCCTTTCATTTCTGCTTATTGGATTTGGCAGTAGGTTTAGGAGGTATAAAAGTTGTTCTCCCTTTCCTTTTGGAACTGGAGGGGTCAAACCCAAGTCCTTCACGACCCTTTTGTTTGGTCGCTTCAAGAAGCTTATCCACTGCTTCTTTGGACTTAAGTATCCCAAGCTCCTTGTTGAGGGATTTCATCTTTTCAGAGAGAGATTTATTTTCCGTCTTGAGTTGAGTGATCTCATCTAGTTGACTTTTCCGACCTTCAGTCAACTTGAGATTCTCTACACTCAATAGTTTGTTCTCTTCTGTTAAGGATGAGTGTTTGAGATTTATCTCCTCAAATTCTTCCATCATCTTTTTGAACTGGTCAAAAAGATTTTCTGAAGTTGGTATGCTATAAGAAGATGGGCAGGAGGTTTGTGAGGTTACCTCTTGTTCGGCATCATCTTTGGCCATAAGGCAGAGAGTGTCATCTTCTGACATAGTCCACTGATCCTCATGGTTGGACTTCTCAGCTCTGCGCTCCATGCAGACGAGGGCTTCTTCATCCGAGCTTGAGCTGGATAACTCGTCACTTTCAGCTGCAACCATTGCTTTCTTCTTCTTTTCATTTCTTTCTCTTTCTCCGTACTTCTCCACCTTTGGGTACGGGCACGCTGACTTCCAATGACCAGGTTTCCTGCAGTTATAACATAAATAAGATTCAGGAGGGGAGTCACTTACCTGTGGCTTTCCCTTGGATGGCCTTCTAATTGAGTCAGCTTTCTTGAAGAACTTCTTGAACTTCCGGAATTGTTTGACCATCATGGCAAATTCCTCAACATAGTTCTCCATTCTTGAGCTTGACAGCCGGCTGGAGGAAGGTGTGTCACAGTTCCTTGGGCATGTCCCTTCACTCGGTGGGACTCTGGGTGTTGTCATCAATGCCGTGGGGAAGGGAATGACTTGTTCTTCCTTCTTCTTCATCAGCTCATGCTCATAGGTTCTGAGCTCATCAAGGAGACCTTGGACAGTGTAGTTCTCCAGGTTTCTTCCTTCTTCCATGGCTGTGGCTTTGGTGTACCACTTAGTTGGAAGAGATCTCAGTAACCTTACGTTCTTTTCTTTGGGAGAAAGAATGTGGTTAATGTTGTATTTAGGTGCCCTAGCGGCAATCAAATACCTATGTAACTGTACACTTTATCATGAATGAAATGTTGAAACAGGGGCTTGTCACGTTTTCGTACTAAAGTCGTGTTCGTTTTTGTAACAGGTTTTGATAATGCCAAACCGCCGTGATCAAGTCGAACATTGAATATACAAGGTGAAGAACGAAGATAAGAGCAAGAGCTAAACGAAGACCAAGAACGAAGACCTTAATCATAGTATTGAGTCGGTCTTTATTGTGATCAAGACCGACCCAATCTTTACACCTTGGCTCTTTAGGCTAAAAACTCTCATTGCATTTCTTACGTCATAAAAATGGTTTTAAACTTGTTTAAGTCATTAAAAACACTTGGTGTTCGCCCAAACCAAAAACCAAGCCATCCAGTGTTCGGCTTTCAGAAACCAGCGTTCGGCTTTCGGTTGTCGGGTTTGGTTTTTGGCATCCAAACCAACCAAGTGGTTTTCAGCATTTTATGATCTACTTTCACTCTTTGGCATGTTTAAACGGTTTTCCAACAAAAACACTTTGAAAACCATCTCTCGCTTTTAGTCGTTTGACAAAAACCACGCAAAATGGCGTAAACTTGGCTAGCCATGGTTTTTACTCAAATGACGTGATTTTTAAAGTGTCTCACTTGATTTCTTAGCCAAATACATCAAATAAGTGTTTTAAACACTTGGTTTTTATTTTGGAGAACTTTGGATTTTTCGGTCGGTTTTTGCATCGGTTGGCTAGGCCGTGGTTAAGGCAAAAACCATAGGTTTTTGGCTAACCACCCACCCAGCGATGGGAAGAACATCCCATCGATGGGTAAGTAGCCCCTTAGCCAAACCAACTTCCAGAACCATGCCAAACAGCGATGGGAAGCTCTACCCATCGCTGTTCAAGCCTTGGTCCAATATTATCACAAGGCAGAATGCCCTTACCCAGCGATGGGAAGCTTT